TGATGAATCAGTTTGATGATGATTTATCAGGTGCTTGAGGATTGTGTTCTAGATCCAGAAACAACAGTGGTGTCTATGTTCCAACAGTGATTTATCTTGATTATATTAGTGTGGTTTCAGATCCATAACATCGGTTGCATTCCACCAGGCACCTGTATTACATTGATTCATTATCAGGAACAAGGTTAAATGCTCAAAGTTCAGCGAATCTGCCATTTAACAAAAAAAAAAAAAAAAATGCCAATCAGCAAAAAGCTACATAATTTGCAGAACCCTTATCTTCTTATAGGGTTGTTTTTAGAAATTTTACAACAACTGACACTAATTCAGTTTGATGCTTTGTGTAACAATGATCTGCTCCCTCTGTACAATCTATAATTTATGATTAGGTATGATCTTAGCAAAATCAAATGTATCTTCAACTGGGATTTACTTGGTCAACAATTCCATTGATTGTCAAGACCACTAGAAATACATAGCGTGTTGGCAACCACTAACTGATTAACATCAGCTAAGCATACTAACAATCTAATATACCAGAAAAATGAAAGTAAATAGCTAATAACCAAGAATTGGTCTGAAGATAAAAATGGGTAGTCAACAAATTTTCAAGAAAGGATCAGTATTTTATAGTTTATATAATTCCAAGTGCAACCTTTCCTTTACTCACAAAAAAAAAAAACCTTCTAGAAAAAACCTAATCCCGATTTGTGTTAAGAGAAAATGCCCTAGCAAAACCCATTTAGGCAATTTTCCAAACACATGGTAAGCGTGGTTTAAAGAGACAATTATCTTGCAAATCTTGTCTAATCTAACACCAATTCATTTTGAGAAACTTCATCAATAACTTCAATCGCACATATCACCCAAACACTACGATTAATCATGGTATTCACCTTGGTTAACCATCCATTTGAGTCTAAGGCAAGCTTCCTTTGCTTAATTACTCTATAAATTGAGAGCTCTAGGACATTGATTGGACCAAGGACTGATCCTGTAGATGAAATCGAGGCTGCTTGCACCACTTGAAACAATTTAGGATTGATTAACTTTCGCAGCAAGATTCCAAGAGAAAGGGACAGATAACAATTCCCCAGATAGAAATCCCCAGAAGATGAATCCAAAAGGAGATTAAGAGGAAATTAGAAATCCCCATGGGAAATCGAAGAAGAAATCGAAAAGTAAATTGAAGGAGGAAATTGTTTGAGACAAGGCACTGCTGGGGTAGTCAGGAAGTGAAAGAAAGGAATGAGGAGACAAAGGTTGAAACTTGAAACCGTTCCTTTTTTTATTTTTTTTTTCTAAGCCAGGTCAGCGGATAACATGGCAGACCATGTTGTTCGACACTTCGACTGCTCTTGTCATCTCAAAACTTTGACCCACGTATCATTACTTTTATTTTTATTTTTATTTTGTACACTTAATTTATTATTCTCTTCGTTAAATTTAATTATTTCATTTTATTTATATATTTATAATTATTAAAATTTTTATTTATTATAATAATTAAAATATATCTTTTTATTTTTATCTTTATTTATAATTAAATAAAAAATGTAACATATTTTTATTTTTTAAATAAAGATAAAATTAAAATATTAATATTTAGTGTGTTATTTAAATAAAAAATTAGATAACTAAATTAAATCATTTTTATTTAAAAAAATGAGACAACTAAATATAACTAAAAAAATATAATTCAAATTACAAAACATACCATTCATTTTAAATAGGGCATTTTTTTGCCCAAAAATTATGTGATTAATTTAGTTTTATCCACTAATTAAAAAAAAATATCGTCAGGGGCTCAAAAACGGGCGAAAAAACATGTGATGTGAACTCAACAGTGTTGTGTAGACATGAACTATTATCCACCATGGCAGAGCACCCACCATTTACTAAAATCCAATTGGGCTTGCAGTTGGACAATTCAGGTCCAACTCAAAACGGGCGCTATGTTATTCAACTTGGGTGGCCCAAAAGGCCGAAAGAGACAGAAAGGATGTTAATTTCACCTCTCCGATGCTTAAGAGCCAGGGTGTTGAGAGGCTTCCTAGATAACACTATTGTCAAGTACTAGGGAGGAAGAATATATGCCCAAATCCTCAGTGGGGAGGATTCAAGAGAAGATTAAGATCTGAAAATTGTTTTTTTATTTTTTTATTTTTTTTATTTTTTTTATGTGTGTTGGAAACTGATTGACTAGTTTATTTATTTGATTCTTTATGTATTTGCTTTTTTTATTGGTACATCTTCATCTATTTGCTTTGGTTGCTTTTTTTTTTTTTTTTTCTATCAGGTGCTTGAGGATGGTGTTCTAGGTGGTGTCTATATTTCAACTCCCATATCTTATGCCTGCCCAACTGAAGTCTTGTGGCATGAAATATCTTAAATAAATGCAGGGGCTAGCTTTTACA